GTCGATGTCAGGGACTAGCATCACCTGTGACACGCTTTTAAAAGTATGACAAGTTCAATCCTACAACGATCACTGCTAGGCTGCACCACACTATGGAACACGGTGGTTGAGAAAGGCATAATTCGCAGCGGCAACAACTGTGAACCCCCGCAGGACGACAAACAAAAACGAGGTCAGCACTCGAGCGCAAAGCTCAAGTGCATGAACCCTTCCTTAAACAAAGTCCGCTCAAATATAGGTCCTGGTTGCCTCAGCATACCGTATGGCACTGTCTGCAGTATCGGCAACAAGTGGAAAGAACTGGAGGTTGAAGCTGCTGGATTTTATTGCATTGTCCTAACGGAGACATGGGTGTAGGACTGAGCAAAGGATAAACACCTTAGCCTGGTAGGGTTTTCCACCTACAGAGCTTGCATGGGAGTGGTAAGAATTGGTTGGGAGGTCATGCTCCTCGTGGCCTCACACTTGGCGCAACTACAAGAGGAAGCATTCTCCTTGAATTGTATTCAAGCAGTATCAGCACACGTTACTGCTGGCGGGGATAAGCTGACAAAAGTATGTATCTATCGGAGACCAGCAACAGAGAAGGGCAAAAGTGCTCAACTGGTACGATACCTGCAAGATTTGGTAACGAAGAATGCTCGGATGCTGATGGTAAGGACTTCATTTCCCCAGAAATCGATTGGACCATCGGGGTATCGTCAAGATGGATATTTGGGGACAAACTAATGAACTTAATAGAGGAGAAGAGCTTGGTCCAACACGTGTGCCAACCCACCCGATGGCGCGTGGGGTATAGACCGAGTAGACTGGACCTGGTAATCACTAAGTACCCTGGTGACGTTGAGAACTTCCAATTAGTGGCCTCCCTAGGAAAAAGTGACCAAGACACTCTGCGTTTCACAGGACCGCTCAACACTGTAAAGCCGCCTGACAAGTGGTGGAGAAATTTCAGGAGGTTAGACGTGCCGGCTATCCAGGAGCGCGCTAGAACTGTGATATGGGAGGAGGTAAGCCTCTCAGAGGAAGGTCTATGAAACCGGGTCAAAGCTAACCTGAAAGAATTGACGGACGAATTTGCTGCACTGAGGAAGATAAGAAGGAGGGGATGGCCCTCAGGGTGGAGGAGAGCATTGGTTAGAGCCAAAGCCCGGAAACATAGGGCATTGAAACTGCTTCAGGCTAACCAGAGGTACAGGCGATACTTAGCTTACATAAAAGTCAGGGATGATGCCCCCAGGCTGCAAAAAATACACCTAGCTGGATATGAAAGGTGCTCGCAAGATGTGCTCAAGCAGTATTTAGAGCCGGACGACGGGAATTACCCGGAAATTACCGATCGGTAAGTCTCTTGTGCAACTTGCTGAAGGTGATGGAGAAATATATAAGAAACGCCATAGTGACCCACCTAACCCAGCATCGACTAGTAGCACCGCAGCAGCACGGGTTAACCAAAAGCAAGTCTTGCCTCATAAACTTGCTGTCCTTCCTTGACGAAATAACTCTCAGGCTAGACCGCGGTGACCCTGTTAAAGCCTGCTATCTGGATTTCCAGAAAGCGTTCGACTTATTCAAACATCAGCTACTTTTACTTAAGTTTAGGAACCTGCGAGTTGCTCCCGTGGTGGTAGAATGGATTTCAGTTCAGTTCGGTATGCACAGTACGAAACTGGGCTTCAAGATAATCGAGCGTCAAGGCTTTTGCGTTGTTATCGGGTGTTTCTAGCTTCCAGCACTGCATATTGTCGGTTCCAGCGATCGACCGCTGGTGGGTATAATTGTTTCAGTCCTAAGTATATGTTCCCAGCTGGGATGTTTCTGAAAACAGACAGATGGGACTCAGCGATCTAGGCCTTGGCCAAGCAGCTATAAGTTAGTTTTGAGGACCCTCGTCCTGATCATTGATATCTGGCGGAATTAACATAAAATGTGAAATGTTGACACCTGGCGGATTCATAAAAAATACCTAACAGAAAACAATTATCTTTAGCATACATCCACATATGTAAACATCAAACCTTACCGACTAGCGTGCGTGAGTGTTTTCTTAGCACTTTACTCCTCAGTAGACGGTTCTCCAACAACCATCCAAGGCGGTCGTGAATGCCACTACAGTGCTGCATCTGACCACGTGTTCTGGCAGCTTATTCCACAGTGGGATCATCCTGTTGGTGAAGAACCTTGCCCGGAGTTGCAGCCTACTGTGATTCTGCTGGAGTCTGAAGCTATGCCCCCTGGTGCGGGATCGAAGAGAATAGTTTCTCGCTTTTGTTACCCGACAAACCGTTTCAATTAAGTCACCCTCATGCGGTTCTGACCAAATACCATTCGGATGGCTAGCCGTTGGACTCTTTCCAGACAATCTAGGTCCTTCTGTGAGTATGGTTCCCATGCCTGGACACAATACTCCAGATGTGCCCGGACAATAACCTTATACAGAAGGACCAGAACATGCGGGTCTCTGCAGGATATCGTATCCTTTATCCTAAAATGTTCGCCCCTAGCCTTATTGGCTGACGCTACGCACCGCCTGGAGGGCTGGAAGTCACTGGAGACCACCACCCCTAGGTCTTTGGCATGCGTAACTTCCATCAGCCGCCCTATCTGTTCAGGGATGTCGACCCTTCTTGCCCCTAGCCGTTGACATTTGGTCAGGTTTAGTGGCAGGTCCCACTTATGTGACTAGGATAGTATAGCTGCAATGTCTTCATCCAAGTCTGCGGCGGCCACCTTCACATCGTCAGCAACCAGGTAGCACGGGTTCCGCAGCTCCGACGGTTGGTCGTTGATGAAGATCAGGAAGAGTATTGGGCCCAAGACAGACCCCTGGGGTACGCCACTGATCACATCTGGAGGGTCTGTAGTGTACGTGACAACTCTTACTCTGAAAGTGCTCCCCTAGAGGAACTTATTCACTCAGGTCCTGGCCCTCCCTTTAATGCCTACTGCTGCATCTTGCGGTCCAAGTATCTGTGATTGACCGAAAACCTTGCTGAAGTTCATGTAACAGACTTCCACAGTGAGGCTTTCGTTGAGTCTCCTGGTCGCATCGTCTAGGAACAGCAGCAGATTTGTCAGACAGGACTTGCCTATCACAAATCCATGCTGCGCGGGTGATATAATGTTGTTTACCACAAGATGCTCACATAATTGTCGCCTCACGATACGTTCTAGGCATTTGCATAGAACACATGTTAGGCTGACTGGCCTATAATTCGTGGGCTTTTGCCTGGGGCCACCCTTATATATATCAACCACTGTTGCTGTCCTCCATTCTGCAGGAAGATTTCCCTCCCTGAGTGAGGCCGCGAAAAGCAACATCACCGGTAGAGCTAGGACATCGGCCAGTGGTTGAACTACGGCCAAATGGATTCCATTTGGCCCATCAGATTAGTATTTACTTGGGGTGTGTAGCTTTCCCTTGACACTATCTTCGTTCACCCACAGCTCAAATAAAACCGGCGAGTTGAAGTTTCTCTGCCAGTTCGGGTCATCTTGGGTCTCCAGTTGTGAGAAATATATCTCTTTGTACGCTTCCAGAAGTGTCGTAGCCTTTTCCATATCTGTCAGCGCCAATTGGCTATTCAAACCTTCTAGTGCAGTCACATTTTCCCTCGTTCTCCTTTTAGATTCTACATAGGCATAGAATCGTTTTGGATTCTCCTTTACCGATACGGCTTACCTACGCTCGAAGCGGAACTTTTCTTGTCTTTGAATAGCTTGGGCTTTATTACGGGCCTGTTTATAGATGTCATATGCCTGACTGGTGCGGTAGGTGACGTACGCTGCCCATCTTTTCCTCCAGATGTCTACTACCCTCTTTACTCTTGGCCACCACCACAAAGGCTGCCGTCGTTCTCAGGATGGCCTAAGGGGTACGAACTCCACTGTTAGCCTTGGCAGTCCGTTTTTGACTACTTCTCATCGTTCTTCTAGGGTAATAACCTAGAGGAAAGATTGGATTGTTGTCGGGATTGTTGGGTACCCAGGACATTGTTGTCGCAGCCCTTTTCATTCCTTCTATCCTTAGCTTGTAATTGCACCTAATGGATTTTTCATTGTGCCCTCGCACGTAGGGTTCCAGTAGCTGACTGGGTTTTGCCCCAGGTGTTGCAGTTACAATGGTATCCTCAAGGATCCACGGGGCACCTTGGCCCCAATATTTGACATCCTTACTGGTCAGGCCAAAGTTCAGCCTGCTGCCATGTGTCCTTGGCACTAGCTGCTGGTTTATATTACGTATCTCTTTCAAGCTACCTACCACGGTTGCTTAGCTCTTGTTTTTTACAGTACCAACTGCGTCTTTATTCACAAGTTGATCGCAGTTGCCCTAATTGTGTGACTCATTTCCTCGGCCCACATTTCTCCATAAGATGTTACGTGATTCAGCTCCCTTTGCTCCGTTACTACTGGGTTTTGCGTTATCTTGTTGTTTTTTTACTTCTCTCGGCTTTGATATCCCTGGAGGTACCTTTAGAGTGTACCTGTTTAGTGGTAACATCGCCTGCTCCTTCAAGGGCCGATGTCCCGTTATTTTCTTGACTTTTGTTATTTTTACCTCAAGTCGTCTGTCCTCCATTCTAACCTTCTTATTGGAGCCAACGTTCGCTGTCCTACGTGACTCTAACTGCAACGGACTATCCGTTGTGACGCTGATTCGGCCGTCGGTTTCTATTTTGATTGTACATGCTCTAGATAACAATTGTTCTCTCTAATACATGTTAGGGAACATTATCTCTCTTGGCCGTGGCAACCCTTTTTTACGTAGCTCGCCAAAGCCCCAAGCGGTGGAACTCGACGATAGAAACTGTCGTGAACAACCCAGTCATTCTGATTACATCACTTACTCGGTTGCTGACGACTAGTTCGAGACAGTTGTGCAGCATCAGACGCCTACTATCTAGCCCCTGGAGTTTGACACTC